GAGCCATCACAAGGCCAGCGGCCGGTCTCTGCTGCTCATGTTGGCCAGAGCAGCACAGCTCCGCTCCCACCCAGCCAGCGCCACCCTAGCGTGGTGCCCAGCAACTGCTCCGTCCTACCCCCCCTTCATTAGACTCTGTGGTGCTCCTCACTCCCCTGCCCCTCCCAGACACGGCAGGGGAAAATTGTCCCTGCCAGGCTTCCATCCGGTATTTCATGGTTTTTTTTTTTTTTTTTAAACCAGACAGAGCCCATGGGGAGACAAATTTTTTCAAGAAAAATAATGGATCCAGGTGCGACCCCCCCCCCCCATAAATTGGTCGTGACCCACAGTTTGAGAAACGCTGCCTTAACCCTTGTGCAATGAGGTTTACCAGGATGGCAAAATAGCATGTCTGATATTTCGAAAAATAATTTGAATTAACGGGCAGCTTATGTAGATACGGGATAGCTATTTCGGGATCTCTCTCGAATTCTGAAATAGCCATGCAGTGTAGATGTATCCTAAGTGTCTGGGGACAGAATCTGAGGGCTTGGTAAATAGTCTAACTTTCATGGATTTTTGACCTTTTTGATTTGCAACAGTACTTAACTTTTTTTTTTTTTTTAAGGCTACTCTTACCTGTACTAATCTCAGTTAAAGAGCCTGTTTTATATTAATTGCTCTCTGTAAACCCTATTGGGTGGATTCTGTGACAGTTCCAATACCTTAAATAATGACAGTTCTGGTATTAACAATTACCTTGTTGATTTAAATATATTTTTACACTAACCATATTTTCCCTTGTTAACTGATCTCAAGCTGCTTAAACTAATTATTAATTGCAGCCCCTTCTGGTGTGAAGTGTTGTAGTCAACAGTACACAGTTATGACAGCAGTTATATTTTGCGAAGTGGATTAGTGAAATTGCATAGGTGGAGGAGGTGTTACAAATATTTAGTTTGAGTATTTCATTTCCATAAGTTTCAGGAATATTTTTCTGTGCAACTTGAATATATCAGATCTGTTCAGGCCATTTACTGAATTTACCTGGTACATTTTTAAGCACTTCAGGCATTAAGTAATAATGTATCCCATTAAAGTATACATGTAAACTTTTTCATGATATACAAATAGTTCTGTAGATGTTCATGGCACTTCTTCATTATTTTGTGAAGTAGTCTACCCTCAGACCCTTTATAATCTAGGTTGAGATAGTATATACAGGGCAGGTGAGAACAAGGATGAAGACAAATTTTAGAAGAGTATGGTGCCAGGAATTCATTACATGAAATATATAAGTATTTCTTTTTACTTGTTTAAAATGATTGCACCTTTTGATCTTAGAATTTATTTTAAATGTATATAAGCTACTCTATTTTTATACTAAAATTTTTATATTAATAAAGTTTTTAATTTTGATGAGGTGTGAAATGTTTCTTTAATTTCTGTTCATTATCATATAAAAACTTTTGCTACAAATTCACATGCAACAGTGACTACCATTTTGTATTAAATAAGTCATATTTCCTGTGATGTTTTCAAAAAATTAGTTGAATGTGAGAGGAAAGGAGGAGTTCAAATCAGAAAAGAAACACTAGGAGGGAAAATTTGCTTTAATGTCTTAACAAAAAAATAGAAAATGAATATGGATTTGTAAGGACAAATTTTGATGATCTCCTAATTTGTATCTTCCCCCTCTCCCGAAATGTGTGCAGGAGTAGGAAGAAATTTGAGCGGGTGGTATGATTGCCTCCAATGGCATGTTGCCCACCTGTCACTTATAGTAGCCAATATTCCCAAAGACCAGAGATAGGACACTATTGAGGATGACTTATTACAGTGAATTCTTTTCCAGGTATATGACCAGTGGATCTTTCTGTCATGCTCAGAGCTAAATGATTATCATACATGGGGTCAGGAAGGAATTTCCCCCCAGGTTAGAGATTCTATAGGTGGTGGAGGAAGGGGTTCACTTTCCTCTGCAGCATGGGTCGCTTGTTCAAGATAACAGCCATACTGGGTCAGACCAGTGGTCCAACTAACTCAATATCCTGTCTTCCAACAGTACCCAATGCCAGGTGCTTCAGAGGGAATACACAGAACAGGGCAATTACAAAGTGATCATCCCCTATTGTCCAGTCCCAGCTTTTGGCTGTCAGAGGTTAGGAGCTCCCCGGGTATGGGGTTGCATTTCTAACCATCTTGGCTAGCAATTGAACCTGTCCTCCATAAGCTTATTTCTTTTTTGAACCCAGCTATAGGCTTTTTGGCTTTCTCTCTCTCTGAAAATGTATTCTACAAGTTGATTAGGCATTGTGTGAAGAAATACTACTTAAACTTCAGGCTATTGATTTCATTGGGTTGTACCTGATGTCTGAGCTAGGTGAAGGATTAAATAACATGTCCTTATTCAATGACTCCACTCCACTCCACTCCACGATTTTGTAAACCTCTATCGTACCTTCCCAAGTCGTCTCTTTACCAGTTGTCTCCATCTCTTCTGATATGGAAGTTGCTCCATACCCTTTAATCGTTGTTGGCTTTCTCTGTACCTCTTTCATTTCTTTTTTTGAGATGGGGAGACAAGAACTGCACACCATATTCTAGGTGTTGATATACCATAGACTAATATAAAACAAGATTATAGTTTCAATTTTACTATCTATTTCTTAACAGTACTGGTCCAAGAACAAATATCTGGGGGATGGCACTATTTACTTTTGTTTCTCTTCTGAAAACTATTTATTCCTACCTGTTGTTTTCCTGTGGGGTTTTTTTTTAAAGCAGTTACTGTTCCATGAAAAGAACTTCCCTCTTATTCCGTGCCTGCTTTGCTTAAGCGCTTTTCCTGTCAAAGGCTTTCAAGTCCAAGTACAATATTGTTAGTTTAAACTAAAGTAAATGGTGAATTATCTGTATGTTGAGGACTTTAGTAACTCAGCTAGAAGTCTCAGATAATATTACAGGAGTGGGTAGCTGAGGTTCTGTGGCTCACAATGTACAACTGGTCAAGCTACATGATTATGTTGGTGTCTTCTGGCCTTAAGGTCTGACTTTAAAGCTGCTTTTTACTACAGGTAAAGTTTCCTACACTACAGTGAGCCAACTGGGAGCAGCTACTTCAGCTTTAGGCCTACTTGATGCAATACAGTATAGCCAGGATATCTAAATGCTGATGATTTGAAGTAATTTGCATACTTTCCCCAAATATTGGTAGTATAGGATACAACTTGATCTAATCTAAAAAACATGTTTATAACCACTTACCTAGAAACAGTTAACAAATAGCTGAGAAATTAATAGCAATATGCTAACTTGAACTTGCATTTCCTATTGAAGTTTGATCTTAGAGGACAATTTGGCAACTGAAATTAAGGACTTACTTTTTGGAGGAATTGTTATAGAACATTGGAAGGCTGAAGGAAAACTAATAGGTAAAGCATAGCTGTTTGATCTTTGACATATCCCCTTTTGGCATTGATATTTACCAACTGATGTTGCCACCACAAAAGACAGAGAAAAAGTACCATTCACTTCAATAGGAGAAAGATCAAGTCCTATGCCTGCGGTTAAGCTATGGTAGTTTTGAGCAGCTAAATTCATAACCTTGATAAAGTTTCTGAGATCACATATCAACTCTATGCTATTCTCTGATTTCCTTGGGTTAATATTGAGTTATGTGACTGACTTCTACATGAAATAATGGTCTCGGTGGTTGCCTTCATTTGCGGGGTTTTTCTCACAACAAAAAAAGGGTTGAGATTCTGTACTTCGCCCATTAGACCTTGAAATCTGCAGAAATATTACGTTTTTGTATGTGAAATATATTCCTGTGATAATTACAAAAGCTGAATTTTAGCAATTCTACATTATTCTTGGATAAGTAGGTATAAAATTGTTTTAATGCATTTAACTTTAGAAGTGTTCACTCCAGTACTACAGACTGTGGAACATTGTGCAATAATATTAAGAGTCATCAGAGAGCTCTAAACAAGTTCTATTTAACAGACTATATAAGCCACTAGAACTTGGAAGAAACATTGTACTCTTAACAGCAGTCCCTCTTCCTCTCCCAAGATCCAAATGCCTGTTTAACAGAATTTACAAGAGTATTTATACTACCATATTCTGTATTAACTATGAGTGAATTTAAAGGGGAAAATCTACTGTCATCATATAAGAGTTTTCTCCTTTGTACAGTTCTCTGCAGATGATAATGTTAAAAAAAGAGTAAAAAATACTTTCTATGAAAACGCAGTTGCAAACGGAGCTAGTGTAAGGTGTTTGAAATGTATGTATCATTTTCTTCACATGTGCTGTTATAAAGACTATCACATATAACATTTTACATCGGGACTTAGTTGTAGCTTTCCCAGAAGGGCCATGCCACTTCTGTCTTCTGGTTAAGTCTTAGAGCATCAGTATCCATAAATATGGATTCTGCATTGTTTAATGAGTTACTGTGTCAGTAAACTGCTGAGAATGCACAAACCCCCAAAGCAAATTAACTATAAAAGCTAGCTATTTTTGTGACTCCTTGATACTAAACTAAGAAAGGCTTC